CAGGGAGACAATTGGTGGGGAGCTTGTAAAAAGAGACCAGAGGGAAACTAAATGCTGAATTATACAGTTGAGGATAATGACCTTTAAAACTGCAGTGATGCACCAAAAACAGTAGTTGATAACACAGACATCCTTGCACTGGTAAGTCAGTTTTTAGCACATCCAGTGTGGTTTTAAAAAACGTAAACCCAGCACCTATTGTATTGATTCCACCTGCAAATAATAGCACGGGTGCATTGTAATACAATGGTCTCAGGGTTTGAGGTCACTTCATTCAATAATGAACACCTTAAGGTCAGTGACAGAGCATCCTGAGAAGCTGAAATGTTCCCTCGTTGGCTTTTCTATACTGCCATTTCAGATTTGTGCTCATTCATTCTTTTGCATAGACCAGCTAGAAGGTCATTGCATAGACCAGCTAGAAGGCAACTGATGGCATATATGCAAATGTAAACCACTGTGATATATATATATTATATCTATCTAATATTGCTTGCTAATTTTTCTGGTACCGCTTCATGCCTTTAGTTCCATGTCTTGCTGCCATGAAGACGCAGTGATGGGAAACAGTTCACTGGTGACATTTCTGCTAATTGAACAGTTGTAAATACAGCTGAGCCACAAGAGAAGTAAAAGGAAGCTATTCTGGGAAGCACAGCACCTTCCCACATTTTGGGATAAATGTCTGTTTCTGTGGTCTGCCGATGTGAACAGGACCCTTGCAATGTTGCAAGCAGCTTCTTGTTCTCTTGATCTCTGTCCATCCAGGCTGGTAAAGCTGACAAGTGTATCCAGGAGCCTGCTCCCTTTGGTCAAGCAGTAGTACATAAATCCCTGAAGAAACCTCTGTGACAAAAAAGTTGGTTTTGCTGGACAGGTTGGATCAACAAGTGTTTCTCTTTTTTCCCCCTGCCTGCAAATTGTTAATGAATGGCAGCATCTGATTGGCCATGGTTCCAGGAGGGAGAGTTTAAAAGGAGAGGTTTTGAAGAGAAAGTTAGTTTGATGAGAGGGTTGGTTGAAGTGGGTTGGTATTGTGGTTGGAGAGGGTGGGAGATAGGTAGGGAGACAGGTTAGGGGACAGGCTGAGGTATAAAGAGTGAATGGGAGAAAGAGTTGGTTCTGGAAAAAAACAACTTCCACTCTGAGCGTATTGTGAAGGACAGAGTGTGGTGTCCTGTAGGAGGAATAGACTGGGAGGCAGAGGTTGAGCCAGGAGAAGTAGGAGCTGGAAAGGTACAGCCTCCTTGGGACTCAAATCTAGTCTGGAGGGGAGAGATAGATTGTAGATCAATCGGTGGGGGGAAATCTGATAGATTCTTCTAAGGAAAAGAAGAAACTCCGAGATCCAGTGAAGGGAGGGGATGTGGAGAGCCCTGTGGTCAATTACTTAAAGTACCTCAGGAGCAGGATTGTTAAAGGGGGTGGATAAGTGAAAGAAAGTATCAAGGAACCAAACCAATACTGTAATGCAAAAACAAGTGAGGACAAATTTAAAGTGAAATTGCACTGTATTTCTGAACTAACCTAAGTTGAATCCATTTGTGTTATATACTATCTTGCCTTAAATAAATCTTTATTGTTTATTTAAGGAAAACCTGTCTGAGACTCCAACTTACTAGGTACCCCTTCACAAAGGTCCTCCACAGGATACTCTGGGGCTAGAATTTTAAGGGGAAAGGGAAAGAAATCTTCGGGTAAAGGGTTGTTCAGTGAGGTGGAGGCAATTTATCTAAGTGAGAGCGGGCCCAAAGGCATGAGAGGAAAAAGTGTCCTTGTGCCCCTTGAACCTCCTTTTGCACCTTTTTTTGTGCTTTACGACAACCACCATCTGCTTGCAAATACCCCCTTCTTGGGCAACATGGTGAAGAGAGAGGTGGAGGAGCTGTTACAGGAGTTTCTGGAGATACAACCCACCTGATCCCTCTTATCACAGTTTGATGACTGAGGTTTTCAGGGAAGACATTGGTGGTGGTCCCCCATGGTTCAGATGAACAGCTTGTAATTTACAGATTCTATGCATTCAATATTATGGACCCAGTCCTGACTGAGTTTAGACAGCTCTCCTGCCTTTTGAACTTCAGACACTTGACAAAACCTTTTCTATTTTGTAGGCACTTTCAAGATGGTTTCCTGATTCTCTGATTGGTTAGCAACTTGCTGGCCTTGTTAAAATTCTGTGGCTGGCAAGACAAGGAACTCATTTTCAGTTCAACAATCACACTTTCCAAAGTGCATAGTCAAATTCTTGCAGCAGTGAAGGTCTTCACGATCAATGCAGAAATGGGATTGTTGATCATATATATTTCAAAAGGAGATTCTTTTAAAATGCACTGCAAGAATCAGAATGTGATAGATTTACGGGCAAGGGATATTAGACATAATATACAATTGGCATCATGGGAAAAATTATGGAGGGAAGATTTAAAATTTACAGCATGCTGTATGTTGAAAGAGAATTATATGAAAGTGATGTATCGCTGGTACTGAACTCCTACCAAGTTAGCAAAAATGTAGAGAACGGCTACAGATATGTGTTGGAAGTGTAAAGAGAAAGAAGGCACATTTGACCACACGTGATGGACGTGCAAGAAGACAAAAGGATATTGGGAAATGATTGATAATGAGTTGAAAAAGATGTTTAAAATTGGAAAAACCTGAAGCTTTCTTACTAAGAATTTTAGATCCAGAAATACCTAAGGCTCAGAATAGACAATTTATGTATGCTACAACAACTGCCATTTGCCCAAAGATGGAAAGAGGACAAAGTACCTACAAAAGAAGAATGGTTGATAAAGATGATGGACTGTGCCGAAATGGCAAAAATGAATGGGAATATCAAAGATCAAGGGGACAATAAATTTAATAAAGAATGGGGAAACTTTATAAGTTACTTAAAAGAACACTGCAAACAATTAAAAAGATTGGCATGATTCCAAACAGCTCTTGCAGTGTGGTGGGAACTATGGTAAAAACTGAGTTTTAAGAAAATATGGAGAATATTATATGCTGCAGTTGGAAAAGAAGATCTTGGGAAACCATGGAAAGGTGGAGGGAAGTCTCGGGATTCAGAGAATCCTGTGTGTAGAATGACTATGATTTATGTGAGAGGATAATTGTCAAAAGCAAAAATGGAATAAAAAAGAATGTAATAGATTTACAATACATTCTGATTCTTACCATGCTTCTTTTAAAAACAAACAAAACAAAACAAAACTCTTACTTCTTTACTGAGTAGAGATAAACAACTAATGGCCTGGGAACTCAATCTATGTATTGGGAGTCATTCAAATCTATCATCCGTTTGCAAATTCTAAAGCCCACACCTCCATACATTTACTCCATGCAGTATGTGAAATCTACTTCCTGCACTAAAAATTGTTTGTCTGTGTTACACAGAAAGTGACTTGGAACCAAGCCAGACCTAATTTTGTAAGTTTATCTGTAATAAACTCATTTCTTGTTAATTTTAGAAATGGCAAACACAACATGGGGGGGGCAGGTGGTAGTTACGGATTCAGATCTGTTTGTGGTGCTAAGGAATGGGTTTAAAACACCATGCCATTTCACCCAAGTTGCCCCCTCAGAGCTAGTATTTGCCCAGCAGGAAGGGTGGAGGTTGCAGGCACCATGCAGCAAATTTGTTTCCCCCCGCCCCATTTTATTTTATTTTTTACTGTATAGAACCTACAATTCTGAATTTAGGGGAGGGGGATTACTTTGTTGCTGTTATTGATAAACATGGGGAAGTCAGAAATCCTTTCTGGTCTACCTAAAATCACCTAGAGCTCATCTACCTTCTGGCCATCCCTGCCATGTGAAGAAAATAGAAGCTTGGGAAGCCATTCAGATTGGTGGGGGGAAACAAAGCAGAAAGGGTTAAAAATCCCCTTTCAAGCTCTTTCTGACTCCACCCACCCCCTCAGCTGCAAACATGTGATGCCTTATCACTGATCTCCAGACATTGAGCCTAGATTGATATCAGCTGTCTAGCAAGCCTTTGTTCACATTGGTGGGAGGAGTCAAACTGCCACAACTGTGTTGTTAAGGGATAATAATAAAGATTGCTTAAATACTGATTACTCAGTACTGTCAGGAACTGATCGCAAATGCCTTGTGTGTTAAAATGTCTGGGGTTTTTTGCACAAAATTGTCAAATGTCATGAATTAAAATAAAGCAAAGGCATTCTAATGAAAAACAAAAACAAAAAACTGCCAAGAGTCAAAAGGCTTTGTTAGTATTGTGAAGAACACAAAATGTTGTCCCCGAGAAAACTGGAGCACTCTAGTCTCTCAGCACTCTAGAAATGGCAGTGGCAATGGTAATAGAATGTACAGTGAATGGATATCTATACACATTCTGTGAACTCAGAAATCGGGCCCAGTCTTCACAATGTGCTGCATGTTAGAATGTGGTTCCTCGGGTGAACTCTTCCACTTTGTGGAAGTTGCACGCAAAAGCAGAGAGGGGATCTGGCAGAACCAACCCCTTTCTGTATTCTGGCAACAGTACAAAAATACATTGTGCTTACAACACAATGCATCAAACATTAAAAAACAAAACAAATGCATAGCAAACCAAGAAACCAATAGTAAATAATAAATAATTATTATAATAATAATAGCAATAATGAACAGTTTATACTTATACCCAAATTAAAATAACAGCCAACCCCAACTAAACATTTAACCCATATCACCCAACAAAAACAAAAGCAAAATTGGAAACTTTTGAAACATTTCCCTAATTGTTCCAACCCCAGATTTTGACTGTGGCCCTTATTTGAACAAGTGGCAAATTGTTCAGCTTTTATTTTTGATTTCAATATACAAGTGGTCTTAGCTTGCTTGGGCAAAGGGAAGCGAATGCTTCAGTAAAAGGAAAGCCAGTTGATGATCCCAGACTAAGGCATTAAAATAACAAACTTTATTGAAAAACTTCAAAATGTATTTATTTGGATGAGTAACCCTAGAAGGCGTCGGGAGAAGGGAAGATATTGCTTTGCTGCCAATTTTGGTAATCTTCAGGTCAGGCAACATTTGCACAGGATTTGCAGCTGTATAATTCCCCGTTGCATAACTGTTCCCCATTGCATGACTGTTCCCCATTGCAGACCAGGGAGTTTTACTGCTTGATGGAGTACAGAAGTTACCATTCGATAGTGGAGTACATCATCTCTGCACCATAATATGGAACTGGGCAGTTGCTTGCCTTGGAAGTCTCACAAAGCGCTGTTCCACCAACAGCAGCTGGCTGGTAATGAACAGGGTTCAGTTCCTGGGAGTTCTGCTGCTGTGTGGCATAGACGGGCTCTCCTGGTTGCGTGGTGCTGAGATGTGCCTGCCAGAACCCTGCTCCTTCTTAGCTTTCGGGATAATGGAAGCTGCGTGGCTGGTAATGTTGCTGCGTCGGACTTCTTGCACTGCTTCTCGGAATGCTTGGACTTCTTCTGTCAGAGCGGCTATAAGGAGTTGTAGCTCGGTTCCTGATCATTGTTTTGGACCCACCCAGTCATCTTTGTTCTCGCTCTTCAGTTCTGAAACCAGGTCTGAACAAAACAAAGGAGAGAACAAAATGCCCATTATTTCCAAATGGATAGGTCATAATTTCACTTTCTAGCTCAGAGGACCACCGAATATTTGTGCCTCATGTGGTGCAATTTTTTCAGTGTGGGAGAACTAGGGACATGCGGGACATTGGCTAGAAAAGCAATGTTGCTTAACTGTGGTTCCAGCTGAATGCTGCACATTTGGTCTCTCAATGCAAGTTGCTGAAAGCTGCCATCCTAATAGGAGTATCCTATGCACACTCCCTTGGGAGTTCGGTCAGGTGGGTCAGGTTATAAAGGCAGCCTAGAAAACCAGAGTTTTTACTGTTCAAACCCAGAACCTTTGATATTTGAAAGTATGTGCCTCCAATAATTTGAGTGGGAAGGAAAAGGAAGCCTTAATCAGGAACCAGGATTTCTGAACAAGTATGGGCACAATTTCTTCCTGCAGTTGAAAAGGAGGGGACACAACGCACCCGCCCCTTACAAAAAGCCTTTACATCCACGGTACAACAGCCCCCCCCCAATAAAACCCCACAAAAACCCAGGAAAGAGGAAGTTGGCTCTTGAATACGGCACCTTTCACGTTAAGCTCGGAGGCATCAGGAAGATCTAACGAAATCGAATGACAACGAAAGAATTATTCTGAGCGATTTAAATTTATCCAGTATTTGTGGTTTAAGGAAGTCCTAGGAACCCCCACTATCCCTCTTCTTAAGTGCACACGATCTTCTTCGACTCCGATGCACCTCGCCAGCGCCTCCCTAGTCTGGTATCCGGGGTACTGGTTCTCTTCAAACTCCTTCTTTAAATCCTCGATTTGGGCAGGAGTGAAAACGGTCCTTTTTCTCCTATCTCCTCCGACTTTGGGGTAGCTTCCTCCTGGGAAAAGACAAAGAGGCAAATCTGAAGGAAGCGCTCGGCTTCAACTGAAGCAACGCTTGCAGATCTTCCTCCCGACATGGAAAGCTCAGGGCTGCATCGCCTGCACTTGCCCCCAGAATCGGGCGCTGCCTGAGCTTCCACTGCGTAAAACGACCCCGGCTTCAGTGGCAATTCTTTCAAGCGCCCCGCTGACCACCCACCCGGCAGAGCGCAGAAGGCAAAGCCTTCGCTTGTTACAGAAAGGCTTTTGTACCTGACATTCAAATCCACGCACTTTGTGGCCTTTAAATAAACCTCCGGTTGCTCTGAACAAGGCTTGCATGAAAACAAACCAAAGAATTTTCAGTAAGAAGTTTACGCTCTTATTTCTATACCTGCCATCGTTTTCCGCAGCCGATCCTAACCACGTTTATTGGGAAATTAAATCGCCATTTATTTCAAAAGGATTTAACGTTCAGGAAAGTGTGTAGTGTATAGGATCGCACTTTCCACGCACTAAATGCTTCGTGTTTACGAATAAAGGTGTGCAAAGCAGTCTTGCCTGGGCTTCTTCCCAGGAAATAGTGAGACATGTTTAATCTTTCCCCGGCTACCACAAAAGGGTCTTTGAAAGCCTTCCTTACGCCAGGATCCTGACCCAGATGAAACAGAAATCGTCTTCCTTCCTACTCATTCCCCTATAAATCATTAGAGCAATGCTGTTGTTGTTTTTTAAAGACAGTGAATGAATAATCTTTTTAAAAAAAGTTTCTCTTACCTTTGTTGTTGGTTGCCATCATGAAAAAACTCTTTCTCGCTCTCTCTCTCCTGAATTGGTTTTGTCTTAAAAATGGACACTAACTCTCTCAGGTTCACTCTGCTATTCTGCTGGGGGTTCGGTCTGGGCATTCAGCCGATAAGAGGGACTCACCTTTTTTCAGTTGTTTTGCTAAACTGAGTCAATCCCCTCCCTCCCTCCCTGGCCACCCCTTTGGCCGTTGACTCTTCGGCCGCCAGTAATAACCAATTGACTTTGACCTACTTTAGCCTGTGATTTCGTCCTTAGCCCTTGGTTTTAAGCAGTGGTTCCAACTTTAAACTGCTGTTGATTCCAAGACTAGCTGACGTCGTTTATTGCATTTGAAATGGTATTCATTGCATGTGAAAAAGCAATAAAATACATTTTAAAAAACCGGCGTTGATATGCTTAATATATCGCTGTTGGCACGTTTCGACTTGGATCATTATCCAATGCAGGCAACTGAAGAGAAGAGAATTCAGAGGTGAGGAGAGAGAGGGAACCTTCCTGCGCCTGCTACACATTTTCTTTGCCAAGCCAGTGCAAGTAACTACCCCAGAACTGAATAAAGTGGGGTGCCCCACACCTGCATCGTACAAAAATCACACTTGCGGTCCAACCAAAGAACACGCCCCCCCCCGCTTACCAGGTAGCACACACTTCCTATCTCAAACGGATAATAATAAAATAATAATAAATTTTATTTATATCCCGCCCACCCCAGCCGAAGCCGGGCTCAGGACGGCTAACAACAATAAAACAGTACAACACAACACTCTAAAATCATTATTTATAAAATTAATTCAAATCAAACCAATGGCAACCGTTGGGCCAGAGCTCCGCGAAGATTGCCAAAGGAGGGAGTCAGGCTGCGCCCTGGCCAAAGATACTCTCCTTTTTAAAAAGTTTTTGCTGTTGTTCTAAAAAGAAGCAAGTATAAATTATTTCATATCGACAAAGAAGCTTGGAACAACTTAATTCCGACACCCCTCATTAGCATCCCCTCTCGTCTAAATAGATTTGTACATCACCTTGGATGGAGGCAGTGGCAATGGCCAGGAATCGCATCAAATGCGAATAAGACGGTAAACATAACAGCGGTGGCAACCGAAGAAAGAAATCTAAGCTGAGTAAGCAAACTATATTTTATTAATAGACGATTAAATTTGCGTTCATGTTACGCTAGAAAAAAGCTTACGTTATTTTAAACACAGTGCATTGGGTACGCAAGCGCAGATCTCCTATAAAACCAATTAGTCTTAAGATTCTGGGCGCCAAATCCCAGAGGGGTCCCAGACCTGAATTAATCCACATTCTTAAACATTTTTATTCACACCAATGACTTCGAGACGTGTCACAACCCAGAACAGAAATTCTAATCAAAATCTGATTTTTTTAAATGTGGTAATCTGTCAGGGAACAACCCCATTGAAGCTGGCAACAGTGGTTACCCAGAACTCATTGCTAGTTGGGTATTAAAATAGAAAACGGGGAGGGGAGGTCAGCAATCCTTTGTGATCTACTGCAAAACACCCAGCGTTCTTCCCACCACTGCCATGCAAAGGAAACAGCAATTTAGAAAGCAATTAGGACTGGGGTGGGGAGGGGGGAAGGGATTAATTGCGCCCCCCATCCCACCCTATGCATACAAGCAGGTGATGCGTTATCACAGATCTCCAGTTCAGATAATTCAGAAAAGGGCAAGCAGAGTGATCAAGTGGATGGAAAAATGAGGAAAGGTTGGAGCATTAGGGATTTTTTTGGTTTAGAGAAAAGTTGAATAAGAGGTGGCATGACAGAAATTTATAAAATTTTGCATTGCATGGAGAAAGTGGATAGAGAAAAATTTCTCTCCCACTAAACTACACTTTTAAAAGGTACAATCCTAAAATCATTGAACTTATCCCCCTTGCAATTTGCCTCTGCTGTTTTATTACATTTTTAATGGATTCTTATTGTTTTGATATATTGATGTAAACCACTTGGTGAAGTTCACTTCAAAAGCAGTACATAAGTAAATGAAATGGGAGGGATTGAGAGGGACGTATTTCTGAATAAATGGATCTGTCTTGATTTATAATAATTAAAAATCATGATCAACCAAAAATAAAAGAGAGAAAAAACTTCCAAGCAGAGGCGGATTTAGGGCAGCCCAGCCGGTCCCCCCCCCGCGCTGAGCCTGGAGGGGCCAGAGGGGAGCAGAAGGATGAAGGAATGAAAGGAGCAGAAGGGAAGGCGAGAGGGGGCAGCCTTCCTCAGGGGCCAGACATGCTAATGCGCTTATCTCGCCTCACGGGTGGGTCCCCCCTGCGGGGTGGGGTGGGGGGGTCATTGTGTTAAGAGGGAGCGAAGAGGAGACCGAGGGGGGGGGAGGAGCGGGGAGGAGGAGGAGGAAGAGGGCGGCCAAGGTGACCCCGCAGGGGAAGGCGTGGCCAAAGGGCGCCAAGGCAGGAGAGGCGGGGGCGCATGCGCGGGGGCGGTTTGGGCGGGAGACGCCCACCTGGATTCTACGCGGCGAGGCGAGAGGGAGTGGGGGATGGGCGGCCGTTGGGACGAGAAGGAGGAGCGGGAAGGACACCCCTCCCCCCCCGTTGCCCCAGCCAGACGTTGGTTATAGCGCTGATGCTGAGGGAAAGTAATAAGGGAAGACAATGGCGAGAGGGAAGCCCTTCAGAGTTATCTGGTAGCCGATCCCCAGGCGCCACCACAGGGCGCGGCTATCTTCCCTCAGGCATATACAGTGGTACCTCTAGTGCACAGGCAACCCTCCCATAAAGCTTCATTGAAGGCAGTAGAGCACAAACCTTGGGGGGGGGGAATTGGGAGCAAGAAAATGAAATAAAATAAACCCCCCACAAAGTTTTTAATAGATATAAATGCCCATGTTGCAGTCCAAGGCACATACAAGTAAAACTTATATGTCTTTAAAGCTTTAAAACTTAACACACTCATGGTAGGAAAATCAATTAAACCTTATATCCCCATCTCAAACTTCTGTGTTTTAAAAAATGGAAGACTCATGAATGGAAACCAAACTTATTAACACAGAAAAGTGTTACTAAATCTACTTATAGCAGGATCTACAAATATACTTTTGCATACAAAGAAAATATAGCGACTTCCCTCCACATTTATTGCCACCTACTCTAGCCTCAGATACAGAGACTTAAAAAGAAAAGGAAAGGGACAGAAAGCCCATTGGTGCATTAAAATGTGTCTCAGGAATATTCAGCCATTAGTAGACCTGACCTTTTATCCCTAGAACCACATGTACCGCACAACTGACTTTTTCTATGGGAAAATTAAGCCCATGTTTATATGCTTGCACACAGGAAAGTGAATGTTTCAGTAAATGGAAAGTTAAAGGAAGACTCCAGACAAGCTAGTAAAGGAACAAACTTTATTCAAAATATCAAAGTCATACATTAAAAGGCATTAAAAGAGGGAGCTTGTAAAATATGTACAGATAGCAAGGAAGGAGTTGGGATGCTAATCTGGAAATTGACTTAAAGAGAAAAACTGAGAGTCCGAAGCACTTCCATCAACATTCTGCATTTGTACAGGATTTGTAGCTGAATAATTCCCCGTTGCAGACCAGGGAGTGTAAGTGCTTGATGCCATGAAGAAGTTATCAGATGATGGTGGAGGCTGCCTCACCATCTCCGCACCGTAATATGGAACTGGGCAGTTGCTCGCCTGAGAAGTCTCACAAAGCCCAGTTCCACAAAAAGCAGCTTGCTGGTAATAAGCAGGGTTCAATTCCAGGGAGCTCTGCTCTTGCGGGGCACACTCTCCTGCTTGCGTGTTGTTGAGAGGTGGCTGCCACAACCCTGCTCCTCTATGGCTTTCAGCATAATGCAAGTTGTTTGGCTGATAATATTGTTCCATGTGAATATTTTGGAGGTTTCCTGGACTGCTTCCTGGGCTGCTGTCCAGGCTGCTTCTTGGACGGGTTCTTTCACTCCGGCAATAAGGAGCTGCAGCATGGTTCCCGATCCTTATCCTGGAACCAATCTTCTTTTGTGTTCTGGCCCTTCTGTTTTGAAACCAGACCTGAACAGAAGAAAGGAGAGAACCAAATGCCCATTATTTCCAAATGGGAAGGTCATAATTTCACTTTCAGGTACAACAACCAAGCAAAGATTAGTGTATTACAGTGGGAGAACCTACGTTAATTTGTTTTGTGTTGTGCGAAAGGCATATAGGCATTATGTTCAAAAGCCTTTATATCCACGATACACCCCCCCCCCAAAAAAAAAGAAGCAAGAAAGAGGAAGTTAGCTCTGGAACAAGGCACCTTTCGCGATAAGCTGAGAGGCACCCGGGTGAACTAAGGCCTTCGACTAGGCAAGGATTATTCTGAGCGTTTCAAATTGTTCCAGTATGTGCGGTTTAGGGAAGTCTTGGGAGCCCCCACCATCCCGATTCTTACGTGCACACGATCTTCTTCGACTCCGATGCACCTCGCCAGCGCCTCCCTGGTCTCGTATCCGGGGTACTGGTTCTCTTCAAACTCCTTCTTTAAAAGCTCGATTTGGGCAGGAGTGAAAACGGTCCTTTTTCTCCTATCTCCTCCGACTTTGGGGTGGCTTCCTCCTGGGAAAAGACAAAGAGGCAAATCTGAAGGAAGCGCTCGGCTTCAACTGAAGCGAAGTTTGCAGATCTTCCTCCCGACATGGAAAGCTCAGGGCTGCATCGCCTCCACTTGCCCCCAGAATCGGGCGCTGCCTGAGCTTCCACTGCGTAAAACGACCCCGGCTTCAGTGGCAATTCTTTCAAGCGCCCCGCTGACCACCCACCCGGCAGAGCGCAGAAGGGCAAAGCCTTCGCTTTTTACAGAAAGGCTTTTGTACCTGACATTCAAATCCACGCACTTTGTGGCCTTTAAATAAACCTCCGGTTGCTCGGAACAAGGCTTCAATGAATACAAACCATAGAATTTTAGGTAATACGTTTACGCTCTTATTTCTACGCCTGCCATCCTTTGTTTCAACTGATCCCAACCACGTTTATTGGGAAATTTAATCCCGTTTATGTGAAATGGATTTAACAGTCAGAAAGTGTGTGTGTAAATGCTTCATGCAGTAAAATGCACTAAATGCTTCATGTTTACAAGTAAAATATGTGCAAACCAATCTTGCGAAATG